GAGGTGAGCCCGACTATATCTAGCCGGTACCTCTCAACCTCACGCACTAACTCAGGCTCCTTCCCCACCAGAGAGGTGACATTCCATGTCCCTATTGCCAGTCTTGGCAGCCAGGGGTCAGTCCGCCAGGACCTCCGCTCCTGGCCGTCACCCAGCACACAATGCACCCGACCCATATGGTGCCTTCTGCGGGTGGTGGGCCTGCGGGAGGATGGGCCCATGTCTCCTCTTCGGGCTGTGCCCAAAGGCCCGGCCACCAGACGCTCACCCTCGGGCACCCTCCCCAGGCCTGGCTCCAGGGCGGGGCCCCAGTAACCCTATCCCGGGAGGGGTAAACTGTTCCCTCGATGTTCTCTTCATAAGGGTCTTCTGAATTGCTCTTTGTCTGGTCCCTCACCCAGGACCAATTTGCCATGGGAGACCCTACCAGGGGGCAAAGCCCCCAGACAACATAGCCCCTAGGATCCCTGGGACACACAAAACCCTCCACCACGATAAGGTAGCGATTCACGGAGAGGACTACAAACTAAAACTACATAATAATTTCACAATCTCTAATTAGGGGTATAACATGGCATAAGATAATATGATAATCTCACAGTATCCTTGTTGGTCTTCAGACAACAATTCTGACGGCTAAAGAACCAAATGGGACAGGCAAACAAACCCCCAAAAAACAAAACAAAAAACAAATGGTCAGTGAAGATGGTCAGGTTCAAGCTCACTGACTCTCCAACCCACATCCACTGCCACTGTGCTGAAGGGAAGTTAAAGACTTTCTTCTGCACTTACATTTGCATCACCTCGATCCATGACAGTCATTCAGGCAGTAATGCCTGGACTGGAAACAAGCCATCCTTCAAATATTACAACATTCGAGCTCTTGTGTTGGAATGAAAAACAAATGTGTTGTTTAAACTCGAGACTGCACTTGTGACAGAACAATAAATATGTTTATATTGATGATATCAGTAACTATAAAACAACGTTGTGGTAGGCCTAAACGTAGTTTCAGAATAATTAAATCTGAGACTGTGTTTCATTGTGAGATTATAACAGTGATGGCAATATAACTGTTTGATGTTCTGATGTGTCTAGGATTCTGTTGTTCAGAGCCCACAGAAGATACTCAAAGTGTAAATTATGTTATTAGGCATCCACTTAAAAGACCTTTGTGTGTTTCTGCCAGAGTTTCGGTCGTTAAAAGTCAAAATGGAAATCGAGAAGAGGACAAAGACATGCTGTGGAAGAGAGACAGAGATTAATAACAGCTATGACTCAATGCAGAGAGGTCTGTTAACACATAGTGAGTGAAGAAGAAACACCCAGTGCATCATGGGAATCCCCGGCAGCCTACGTCTATTGCAGCATAACTAAGGGAGGATCCAGGGTCACCTGGTCCAGCCCTAACTATATGCTTTAGCAAAAAGGAAAGTTTGAAGCCTAATCTTGAAAGTAGAGATAGTGTCTGT